GTGCTGTCCCAACTCTCATAACTGGGGAGCAAAGACAGCCCTCCTTGAAAATCCCTTGGGTGTACCATTAATACAAACCAACCTCTACTGAACACTGAAAGTTGTCTTTGAAATAAAAATCAGTGTTCATGAAGACTTGGGAAAGAGGGTGACTAGTCCACAGTGACTGGACTATCCTCTCTTTCCCTCGCCCAAGGTGATGGTTCAGGTGATGGTGAGTCCAGAGAAGACCCAGGAGCCAGTTCATGCCAATGAGGATAAACTGGTAGGAACTCTGCTCTTTATAAATTAATCCAGAAGAGACCAGGCAGGAATCTTATGCCCCACTAGATGGAATTACAAGGGAACATCCTGCAAGTCCAGCTCTGAACTGAAGTGACTTGAGGGAGAGACCAGCACAGAGCCAAGTATGTAAGGAATGAAGCTGCTGAGTAGACATCTCCTGAAGGAAGCGGTGGGTTGTCACAACTGTCCCAAAGTCATATATTTTTGGACTTCTCTCCACTCTGATCGTTTTTTTAAAATTTTTTATTAGTGAAACACCATGAGGTACAGTTGTAGACTTACAAATTTTTGTGCTTGGGTTTCGATTATACAATGATCAAATACCCATCCCTCCACCAGTGCCCATTTTCCATCACCATGGATCCCAGTATCCCTCCCACCCTCATCCCCCATCCCACTCTGCCTTCAAAAGGCAGGGCATTCCCTTTTGTTTTCTCTCTCCTTTTGGGAGTCGTGGTCTGCAGAAGAGGCATTGAGTGGCAATCATGTTTGGTCTATAGTCTACTTCCAGCATGTTTCTCCCATCCTGGGAGGATCCTCCAAACACCCTTTATTTGGTGCTCCCTTCTCTATCTGAGCTGCCTTTTCCCCTAGCATGCCCAGCTGGCCTCTAAGCCATGCAGTAATCCTCCTGGTACTGATCTCGGCTATTCTTGGGTATTAATCTCCTATTTTGTTACTTTATGTCCCCCAGATGAAAGCAATCTTTTTATGTCTGTCCCTCTTTTTCTGACTCATTTCACTTAGCATGACACTTTCCATGTAGTACCACTTGTATGTAAATTTCATGACTTCATTTTTTCTAACAACTACATAGAACTCCATTGTGTATATGTACCGAAGTTTCTTTAACCAGTCATCTGTTCTCGGGCACTCAGGTTTTTTCCAGATTCTGGCTATTGTAAAGGGTGCTGCAATGAACAAACAAGTGTAGATGTCACTTCGACTATACTTTTTTCCCTCTCTGGGATATATTCCCAGGATCTCCACTCTGATCTTGCCCAGCTCCTTTCTGCCCTAAAATGACCAGCCAGACGGGACAGTCTGGGATTTGTCCGTGTAAGATGAGTCAGAGAGTGATAGAGGCAGAATTCCCCCGGGTCCTAGAACTGTTCCCTCTCACTTCTCCTGGGCTCTGGGATTCAGCCCCACTGAGGAGATTAACTACCCCCCTTTTTGTCTTTGCCTCTCCCCGTGTCCTCAGAGATGAGTTTCAGCTTCCAGCATGCCAAAGGACACAGTACAAATTCAGAGGTAGAGACCTCGATTCCATACAGGGCTACTAAAATCTCTTTGTAATTCTATTAATTTATTCATAAATGTTCTCCAAATATGCTTTAAGCAAAGCATTCCACTGCAAAAAAAATAACAAATAAGCTTTGAAAAAAATAACAAATAAAACTTGCAAATTCAACTTTAGAAGCAAAAATGAGGATATCATTCTCCCTCTATTAAGTAAAAATCACATTCTCATTTTAGTGCTGTACTCTCTTCCTTTTTGCCTGAAGAATCATTTCTGCTTATTCTGTGATTGGGAAGTTGTTTAGACAAAATGTTTGTGTGACCACGAATCCTTTGTCAGGGACACGTCGTAGAGACCTACCACTGAGGCCCGTTGGAGCGGCATTAACTGGCCGACACAGTTGCCTCTCAGACAGCAAAAGGTACAAGTCTTCGGCGGGCGGGGGGTTGTGGGGACAGACCCTTGAGTCATTAATTTGTCACTGTAGACCTGACAGGGTTTTTTTTTTGTTCCTTCCACAAATGATTGTTCAGCATCCTCTGATCTTTTCTACAATTCTGTGACACTAGGAAAAATGAGTCCTTAATGCCGCTCTCCGGGGAGAAGGGAGGCTGAGCCATTAGAGCAAAGGTTCCTGACTCGCCTTTTACTGTGGAGTCCTTAACGAAAAATGATGCTCATTTTTCATCATGTGCTTTTGTTCAAAATCCTTTAGTACTTTCAAAAAATCATCATCCTGTTCCTTTTAGCTCGGTGCCCTCATAAAACATTGAACTTTCTCGACTTTGGTGCCTGAAACATCCTCAGGAGACGCTGCAAAGTGCACCAGAGTCATTCCTAGGGCAGAAATTCTCCTCAGCCGGATAACAAGAGCCATCACGCTCTGCGCAAACCCCTACCGCTCACACAGGACCCAGAACTCCAGGGCAGCCATGTCCTGAATGTCCGTTTGTCTTTCCCGGCAAGGGAGTTCTTTGCCATGCCATTTAGTCGTGACATTTCTATTCATCCTTCTTGTCTTAATCCTCACAGTTTCCCTAAAAATAAGGCAATCCCCTCAATTACCAAAGACGACCCTGAAAACGTGGGTCTTAAGAACTTCCATTGCAGCAATAAAGAGCCGAAAGCCTAGTACCTCCCCGTAGGAATTCAGAACCCACTGGGTGGTTCTGCCCATCAGGATCTGTCTTGACAACCACTGTCTAAAACGTATAAATTGACTTGATGGTTTCGTAGTGTTTTAAGTGGGGAAAAAAAAACGGTGTAAACATAAAACTGAAATAGCATTTCAGGAGCCAAACTGAAACAGTCCCTCCCCTGGGCACTGTGCTGAGAAGACTTAAGGGTTTGTGTGTATCCTGAGAGACTTTAGGGTGTGAGCTAGAGAGAGCGAAGAGATTCTTTCCTGAGAGAGGTTCCCAGGAGAGGGTGGGACATGCTGTTTGAAAAACATTTTAATCTGAATAATTGTGCAAGACCAAACTGGAGGAGAGAAAGAGAGCACTGTTTGGCTCATAAAATGCCTGCAAACTCCTGGAACTACCCTGGCAAAGACCCTAACAGATGAAAGCTCTTTGTGTGGTTGGTGCTGGAGCCCTAACCCGGGTCTCACAAGCTCAAAGCATTTCTCTCTGTCACTGAGTCAAAATGTGTCTCTGCTCAGCCTAGTTTTAGGAACCTCCAGAAAACCACAGAATGGCACTTTTCTTTCAGTGGGATTTTATTGTTGTGAGAACTGTAAACATACACAGAGTCAACTCACTTCCTCTGGTGTTGTCAAAAAAAAAAAAAAATCCAAACCAGCAAGTCCCAAAGAGGTACGACCATGCTTTGATTTTCATCACAAATGTCAGGCATCACATATTATGTCTTTTATGCAAATGTCAATGGCATTTAGAAAACGTATTCTATTACCCCAAAGGATGGTTTCAAAGCCACTTCAGTTTCCTTCCTTTTGAAAACTGATGCTTGGAGGCTCTTCCTGATCATCACCACCCCCGGCTTATACCACATACACCCAGCAGCCCCCGCCATGTGAATTTTAAGATTTTCCTTAGTCATTTAAACAATACTCCCTTGAACTATTATACCTTTTGTCTACTGCAATTTCCAGTGTACGCTCTTATGTTAATACTTATCTTCCGAGAGCGATGAGGATACAAATCATCACGCGTATGTTTTCCTATCAAGTTTCTTAGCGCTGGGAACCCTGGATAGCAGCAAATAAAATTACTTTTAAATATCTTAATCTGAATTTCACGTCTATTCCATCCATCCCCAGCGGGAATGTCTCATGTTGATCAAAGTCATAAACATGAGTTATGAATAAAAGCTCATTACTTTCTCCCGGATGTCAAATGGACACGAACCGGTCTTCTATAATTCGGTGCTGATCTTAGATTCATTTAGAAACCTCCCCATGATTTCTCAAATTCTTCTTAAAAAATCTATTTGGGTTTAAGTGGCATGCCCGCCAAATGGGCAGTGTGGGAACACCTACAAAATAGAGGTTCGCATTTGGGGTACCCACGTCTCCCTGTCACTGATGATCTTTTGCATGTCAAGTGTGATGCCTTCTGCGTGTGTGCTGAGAGTTCTCCAAGAACAGGACGCGTGTTTCATGTGTAGAGCAAACACTCATGGTTATTCCCGCCCTTCTTGGCACCTCTTCTTGGTGCCCGGGAGGGTCCGTGCTGGCAGGACCTGGCCCCACTGCACTGCCCGGAGTCAGGAGCGTCGCCCCCTCTCCGTGTGGGTGATGAATGCGCAGTGACCATCTGTCTGGCGGCCGGGAACTTCGCTTTCCTGGCTAGCAGGGCCAGCTGGTTCCTGCACCTCACAAGAGGTGTGGGCTTTCCCCCCAGTGTTTATTTCATTTATTCGTATGTATTTTTTTTTTTGAAATCGCCCTGGCAAGCAGCAGAATCAGTTATCAAACCGAACGGATGCTTAGCAAACGTGCGTGATGCATGCACATCGTCCGAGGCCCAGCAGCGGTGGTCCTGCTGGGGCGTCTGCCCACTGGTGCGCGCTGACCACGCAGGGTGGGGCATCTACTCCGCCGGCCAGGTGGCACTGCGTGCGCTTGGCGCCACCTCGTGGCCGCCGGGAGCAGAGCCGACCTCGCTCCCTTCCCTGCAGTAACCCATCCCTGCCTCTCCAACCCAATGCATTATCTGTGTTTTCCTCTTCTTTGGCTTTGGAAGCCTTGGGGTCTGGCTGCAGCCTTATGCGTTTGATCTCCAACCCTCTCTGCATTCTGAAGGGCTTGGGCATGGTTTTCTGGGGAGCGCAGGCTTCCTGGGCCCGTCTGCGTCCCTGGCAGTTGGCACTGCGTTAAATGTGCTCTCTGGCCACGAGGGTAACCTGAGGGTCCCACCTAAAACCCTGGCATGTCCTTCCAGCCCAGCCTGGCCCTCCTGGTCTCCCTGCCCGTCTCTGACGCTCCCTCTCTCGCCCTCTGTCTCTCCAGGTCGTCTACAAAGCCTGGCTCTGCTCACAGTACTTTGAAGTCGCCCAGTTCAACTGCAGGAAGACAATCCCGTGCAAGCAATACTGTTTGGAGGTTCAGACGCGCTGTCCGTTCATACTGCCTGACAACGATGAAGTCATCTACGGGGGCCTCTCCAGCTTCCTCTGCACAGGTAGGTGTGACCCCCCCACCCCGGACGCCCTCCCCGCCGGGCAGGTGCTCACTCAGCCATTGGTGTCACCTTGAAGATCCAGCTGGTAGTTTTCCAAGCTTTCCTTCTCAGAAGCCTTGGGGGAAAAAAAATTATTCTCCCTCTCCCGCGGGCAACTTGGAGAGTGACACTGTCTCACACACCTCTGGGCACGGCCAGGCGCTCCCAGAGAGACTCACTCTGAATGGGCACAGACTCGCTTCAGCTCTGCCCGCACCGGGCTCAACCTTCTCTCTGGGTAGCCAAAAAGCAGAGGGTGGAATAAGGCCAGTTTGTCACATCATAGACAGATGCATACAGCCCTTTCTGTGTGAGAGCTGTTACATAACTTTATTTCAGTAGATATCAAAATCATAAAAAAAAAAACCTTGAAGGGGCCAGAAAGGTAGTACAGCAGGTAACACGCTCGCCTTGGGCATGGCCCAGCTGCCTCAGTGCCCAGGGCCCCATCTGGTTCCCCCAGGCCTGCCAAAGTGATCCCTGAACTCACAGCCCTGCAGAGTGTGGCCCCCAAACAAAGCAAAACAGTGTCTGGGGTATCTCTGTGTGTGCCGGGGGCCCCCTCTTGAGACCAGGTACGACCTTCTGTGGTAGTTCCTGTTAGCAGGGATTCCTTCTCTCAGCTACTGGGCCTTGCACCAGTATCAGCAGCCGACTTCTGGGTATTTATGGGCGTGATATCACTGAGGCGCAGGGTGTGAGGGAGAGTTTAAGAGCAGAGTGTTTGTAGACCAGTGATGCTTGGGCAAGGGAGGCAACCAGGAACACTTCTGTGCGGAGATGCGGGCAGGCCATGGCTGAATTGTTTTGCCTCAGGAAGAAAGAACTGTGAGGGGCCAGGATGATAGCACAGCAGGTAGGGTGTTTGCCTTGCACGCAGCCTGGCTGGGTTCGATTCCCAGCATCCCATATGGTCCTCTGAGCACCACCAGGAGTGATTCCTGAATGCAGAGCCAGGAGGAACCCCTGAGCATCGCCGGATGGGACCACCCAAAAAAACCAAAAGAAAAAAATCACAAAAAGAAAGAACTATGCCATACCCTTGAAATTCTGTGGTTGGTTCATGTTTTGGAAAATTTCATTTTCAATTTTTAAGGGGTTGGAGCGATAGCACAGCGGGTAGGGCGTTCGCCTTACAAGCGGCCAACATGGCCGACCCGAGTTCGATTCCTCCGCCCCTCTCGGAGAGCCCGGCAAGCTACCGAGAGTATTCGATATGCCAGACACAGTAACAACAAAGTCTCCAATGGAGACGTTACTGGGCCCACTCGAGCAAATCGACGATCAACGGGAGGGCCTTTACTTTACTTTACTTACAATTTTTAAGGATAAAGCAGTATTTGAGGTATCAGGAAATATGGAAATAGTGGCACTAGAGCAATGGTAAGGCAGGTAGGATGTTTTCCTTGCACATGGCTGACCCCGGTTCAAAACCTAACACCCTACTGTAGGGTCCCCAGGCCCTGGCAGGAGTGATCGCTGAGCACAGAGCCAGAAATAAGCCCTGAACATCACTGGGTGTGGCCCCAAACCAAATCACTACATGAAAACCCTTTCATAGGATCAGACTTTGCGATATCCCTTGAAAGGCCCTACACATGGGTGTTATCTAACAATCCGCCCTCTGCCCGCTGCTCCACATGCCACACCACCAGTAGGAAGCCCACCTTCATTCACTCCTAAGATCCGTCCGATGGACTCTCAGAACATGGCAAGGATTTCTGCGTTGCCCACGCTGGTAGGAAGAGCCTGTGGCTGCAGGTCCGGAGAGAGGAGAGCTGTCCTGGTGTCCCCATGGGCTCTTGAAGTGGTGCTCACCTCAAGAGTGGACCAGTCACAGCTGCAGCCCCCACACTTGTTTGCTGCAAATCTCGAGGGTTCCAGATAAGGGGAGCACAGGTAGGCCAGTGGGCAGCAGTCAGTGGGCATCAGAGAGTGAGTGCTTTGTGGAATGCAGAACGGTTTTCCCATCGCTGTTATTACACTGATTTGATGCTGGGATCATTGTCATGTCGCTGTTCTCTGGTGGAAAGACAGAGCAAAAGCAAGAGTGGAGACAGAGGAAAAAGAAAAGAGGAGAGGAGGGGAAGGGAGGAGACAGGGTGAGGGGTAGGAGAGGGGAAGGGAGGGGAGGAGAGGAATTAAGCAAGTCAATACATCCCTTTTTGAATCTCAGTCAAAATTCATCAGTCACAAACTATCAATTTATTTGACGTTTACATAAAATTATCAAACGTGTCGTGAGGATAAAATTTTCAGTTCTTGACTTTGTCAGTGAGAAATGATTTTAGGATTTCCATCAAACTCGGGGGTTGGGCAGGAAGGTTGGATTTTTGCTTCTTCCCTCACCAGTCAACTGCTCTTTGGATGTTCCTTTGGGGGACACATCTGCGGTTCTCGGAGCTTACACCTGGCGGTGCTTAGGGCTTACACCTGACAGTGCTCAGGGCTAACGCCTAGCAGGGCACCTAGCAGTGCTCAGGGATCACTCCTTGCAAACTCGGGCAACCACATGGGGTGCTGGGTATAATACCTGGGTCAGCTACATGCAAGGGAAATGCCTTACCTGCTGTACTATTATTTCTCCAGCTCCCTCTACTGCTTTTTACTTTTTTCCAAGAGCACAAATCTTTTCTTAAGGTTTTCAAAGTAGACAGAAGCCTCAAGTGGAAGGAGACACATCAGAAGTCTCAGGTGAAAAGAGACACGTACACATGTGTTCATCTCCTGCTGCCTGTGCTTCTGGCCCTGTGTGAAACAGAGGTCTAGGTTTTGAGTGCTTGTTTCCTTTCCACCCCCTTCCACTCTCACGGCGACAAGAAAGCAGAAGACAGAAAACCATCACAAAGACAGAATACCATCCTGAAGACAGAATACCATCCCCAAAACAGAATACCATGCCTCAAGAAAGAACGCATCTCTGAAGATAGAATAACATCTCTAGAGAGACAACGCATCCCTGAAGACAGAATAGCATCTCTCTTTGCTCAAAACTTTGCACCTCAGTTGGGTGTGGTTTTAGGGAGTCAGCTTCCGCACATCCTAGCTATGTGACTCAGTTTGCTTTTGAGTTCAGAGACAAGTGCCATTAGTGCTGGGATCTTCTGCAAGAGTCTCCCCCTTGAATGTCTGGGACCTAACACAGCTCTTCTTTAGCCCCTGACTCTGGGGCTCCTGCCCGCAGCTTACTGAGCTGTAAGTATTGCCAAGTTGGTAGAGCAAATCCTGAAGGTTTTAGACCCTGAGCTCTATAGGCAAAAAAAAAATGACAGAAAGGTATTAATTTGCAGATTGATCCTCTTTTCTTCCTGGAACAAGTCTCACCTCACTTGATAACTGTGCCACTAGCACCCCTCACTTGACATCTGAGATGTCCCTGGAGCTTTGTTCCCACACATGAAACGAGAAGATATTTCTCTGGATGCGAATCGCTTGTCAATGATGATAACTCTGCTGGTCTGGGACCAAACCAATCTACCTCTTGGAAGATGTTAGCCCAGAGAGCCCGGGACCGTTGGTTAAGGCAGTGCTGCTGAGTGACTTGGATGCTGTTCATTCCCCAGCTCTGGCCACATGATCTTTGGAAACTTGTCTCTGACACAGACAGGCAGGTGCTAGCAGCTCACCTCCCAGAGGACTTTGCAGTGAACTGGGCTTGAACAGCACCTTCAGTGTGAAAGTAGGAATAACACCCCATGGGAATGCTGCCTCACTGAAGGAAACGCAGCATAAAGTTGAGTTCAAAGCTTCCTCTGAACATGTCTGCTCTTTCTACATTTATGAAATGGTTTTATTGGCACTGTGTCGACTGGAGAATATGGTCATGTGTCACCAGGTATTGAAGGGGTAGATGGAGTCCCTTCTTGTTCAAATAGGTCCATGATGAGGGGTTCTTCACTGTAGCTTAGACAGAAGGGTCAAGTTTGGAAAATTCCCAGGGAGTCTCCACTGACTCGAATTCCCAGCCAGAAAGGGCATTCGTGCGTGAGGACTGGAGCTCTGCCACGAGGGTCCAGTGGGTCCCAGGGGTCCCTGTCACACTCTCAGCCCTCTCCCTGGTCACCACAGGGAGCCCTTTGCAAATATAGCTCTGAGCACTCCTTTCTCTCCCTTCCACTTAAGCACCTCTTAGACATGCGCTGATGTCTAAGGTTTCAACCCTTCTGAGTCGCGAATCCCAGCCAGGGTCACTGGCTCCCGTAGACGGTCCAAGTAGGTGCCAGAGTGCTTGGGCAGCAGGGGAGGCACCTGCCTTGTACACGGCTGACCCGGGTTCAATCCCCAACATCCCATCTGGATCCCTGGACACCGCCAGGAGTACAGAGCCAGGAGCCAGACGTGAGCACAGTCAGGTGTGAACCGCCCCCCCAATTGTTTTTGCTAACAGGAGTTTTATGTAATTGCTGTCCACATACTAGCTTTAGTGCTGTGTAGCTCACTGACCCAGGTCCTGAACATGCTTGTTCCAAAGTGAGATTGTGCTCATCGCTGCTCTGGGAACCTCACACAACAGTCACTTAAATAAACCAGCAACAAAAAATGTGCCTGTTTCTATGCAGTGTCGATGTCCAAATGTCTTCATGTTCTCGTACACATGGAGATATCTGGGCATCAGGGAACCTGCTGTGGGCTCTCTTGGGCACCCTGTGATGGAGAGAAATTCTCACCTCTGGACAGATTTGCAGGACTAATCAGAAAAGAACTCCCGGGTACTGCCAGTTGATCCCTGTCTTTGAGCATTGGGTGTTACTGGGCTAATTTGGTCTCGTGGGTTCTGCAACCCAGCTCAGCTCATGCAAGGAACTTCCTGCTGCTTTCAAGATATCTCCTTCATCCTCTGAGTGAGGGGCAGAGACATCACCCCTGGAGCCTGGGATGCCACGTAGGTAATCAGGCAGGCTTCCCTTCTGCACCCACCCCTGACTTGCTCTAGAACCCTCTAGAGAAACTCTTGAGGGCTT